CAATGGCTCATTCTTGTGTTCACCAGTTAAATATCATCTTTTCAGGGAGGTCTTCCTTGCTTACTCTATTTAAAGCTGTGTGTTCAATGCAACACACCCAGTCCCTTGAAGTAAAAGTGGTGCTCAATAAATATTGTCAAATAAATAAATTTAACTTATCCTATAAAACTTAACTATAAGAACTATAAAAATAAGTTAATTTTTAAAAAAACTACTAGGCAATTTGGTTAGAATATGTTAAAACCAAGAAACTCAGCTTTCTAGTTTTATGCATGATCTAAATCATAACCAAAAAGTAGTCTATCTAAAAACCCAAACTGGTTTCCTTACACAAATACATAGATATACATGTATCTATAACAGCAATTGGTCTTTTAAAAATCATGACTGGGCCGGGATCGGTGGCTCAGCCTGTAATCCCAGCACTTTGGGAGAGTGAGGTGAGGGATTGCCTGAGCTAGTGGATTTGAGACCAGCCTGGGCAACTTGGCAAGACCTCATCTCTACAATAAATAAAAAATTAGCTGGGTAGGGTAGCACATGCCTGTAGTTCTGGCTACTTGGAAGGCTGAGGTGGAAGGATCACTGGAGCCCAGTAGGTCAACGCTGGGGTGGCCATCAGTGTGCCACTGTACTCCAGCCTGGGCAACAGAGTGAGACTCCAACTAAAAAAAAAAGAAAAATCATGACTGCACTATTCTAAAAACATCATCAGCTTTTTTTTTTTTTTTTTTTTTACTGAGGCACAATTTATTGCATTTGACAAGTCAAGGAAGACATGAGAGTGAGGATTATTTTCAAAACTACTTAAAATTTAGAAAGGATTAGCCAGGCGCAGTGGCTCATGCCTATAATCCCAGCACTTTGGGAGGTGGAGGCGAGAAGATTGCCTGAGTCCAGGGGGTCGAGTTCAGCCTGGGCAACTTGGCAAGACCTTGTCTCTACGATAAATCAAAAAAAATATCAGCCGGGTGTGGTAGTATATGCCTGTAGTTCCAGCTCCTTGGAAGGCTGAGGTGGAAGGATCACTAGAGCCCAGCAGGTGGAGGCTGTGGTGGCCCAGAGTGTGCCACTGCACTCCAGCCTGTGCAACAGAGTGAGACTCCTACTCAAAATAAATAAATAAATAAAATAATAATAGAAAGGATTATTTTCTAAAATCTCAGAGATGCAAAAGATTTTCATGGACAAAGGGGTAATTTCTTTATAATATAAAGAATTCCTAGAAATTGACAAGAACATGACACATAACTGTAAATTGGGCAAGAGATATAAACAGTTCACAGAAAAAGAAATGCAAATGATTCTGAAACATGAGCTGATGCTCATCCTAAAAAGAAACATGCAGATTAAAATTATTTTGAAATTCCCTTTGTCACCTAGCTGATTGGCAAAATCCAAAAGTTTGGCCATACTCTGTAGAATGGAGAAGAGGCTGAGGGAAGAAGCATTCATTTGTATTGCTGGTAACAGAGACAACAGGGCCACCCTTGGACAACAGTTTGATGGAAGTGTTCAAAATCATAACTGCCTATCCTGTCAACTTTTTACCCTATTTCTTCTAATTCTTCCTTCAGATATACTTTCATACATGAATTTGCACATGGATGTACAAGGTTCTTCACTGCATTAATATTTATAACAGCAAAGCACTGACAACAACCCCAATGTCCACACCGAGTGAACAGGTTCAATGCACACAGTAGAAACCAGTGCAGCTCTGAGAGATGAGAGGGAAGTCATGTTGGTTTCCTGTATGCACTGACACAAGAAGACTGGCAGGGCATACTACTAAAAGAAAAGATGCAGAATTGTGTTTAATACGAGAAAAACAAAAACACATATTCATCATTTCTTACATTTCTAGAAATTAAAAAAGTCTAAGCAACAAATCTGTGAGGGCCTGTGGTGGGATCAGTGGTTCTGGAGAAGTGGGCAGTTGGGAGCAGGGGGGATGATGGCTTTGTACTGTGCTCCCTTTCATGCTGTCTGACTTTTTGAATCGCTTAAATTTATTATCTATGGAAAAATTAAGTAAAGTCTGTCCTCATGGTTCAGACGTTCTTTTCCCCTTAGACTTTCTAGGACATTCTTTGGGGTGGAACAAAGAGGTGGAACGTCGAGGTGGGAGGGTGGACGCCAGCACTGGTGTTTTCCTCTTTGGGACTGTATGCTTTCTTCCCCTGGAGGGTGGGGTCTTTGAGGTCTGGGACTAGTACTCCCTGGAAGGTCCGGCTGAGTGCTGCAAGGAAGTACTCACAGATTCGGTTCCTTTGCCTCACTCTAGCACTGTGTCTCCCTTTCGGCAAGCTCATGATGTGTCTGTTCATCACACACATCTGCTCAGGTCAACAGCCCTGCGCTCTTTGCCTGAAGTCAACCCTCCTCAGTGCCCAGCCTTGCATTGTCTACACCCCCGCGCTTTCTGTGTAGCATGTGTCTCTGGTAGCGCTGACACATAATACTAATAATTTAAACATATACTTTGTACTTTATAGGGGCCTACTAGAAGAGTCATGGCCATAATGCCGTTCTAAACATCCAGTACAATTAAGAGCAACAAACATTTATTGAATGCCACATATGTACTATGAATAGTCCCCGGTCTCATGAAGTAAACAATTTGTCAGCTTAATTTGCATCACACCATAGTACTTTCCAGAATATATTTGATAAATGCTTTTGTTTGTTGTTGATGAAAATAAATTCTATTCACGTTAAAATAAACAAAACATTTTATGGTCTCTGGTCCAGAAACTTAACAGGGCAAATTACTGTCTCCATTGTTCCTTTCTGCATCTAACTTTACTCATTTCAAATATTTTCGAATTTCCTTGTTTTATTTCCCTAGGACTTAAAAATTTAGACCCTGACATGAGGAAGCTAGTCTTCCTTAAGAGCTTATAGCTGAGTCATTCATGGTGAACTGTATTCTTCACTAGACTATGAGAAGCAAGCGGAACAGTTAGAGGATGCTTCTCACTTAGTAAAAAAAAAAATAAGAAAAGAAAAAGAAAATGTCCATTTAATTTGTTAAGTTTCTAAGTCTTTCAGAACATATAAGTCATTTAGAATTTTCAGTAAAAAGTACAAAGACTCTTTAGGGCAGTTGAAGAAGATAAAAGAATTCTCAGCACACCGTACACTTTAAGAAGAAAAATATTAAGAATAAAAATAGTTTCTCAGCTCAGCCGTTCCTTGGGATTTAGTATTTATTCCTAATGGTCCCCCACAAGAGAGGAAGAAAATGAAAAGAATATACTTGGCTCTTCTAAACAGTAACTATTCATAGCTCTTTTCCCTCATAGGAGAATGGACTATTAGGCCTTCCTTAAAATCCCTTTCAGTAATTTTATGTTGGGTCTGCATTTTACAAACTAGGTTTTGTAACCGAGAAAAGAAAAAACAAACAAGAGAATCATTTTACAATAACTCATTCCACTGATTTTATTACATTCTCAATTCCAAGTCTTTCATTCCTCATAGAAAAATTACACAGACCATGTTTGAAAGTCTCCTGTTTTGAGATTGGGTACCCTTATGCATATTATCCAACTTCAAACCAGGTGAAGTGGGGACCAAAGGGAGGCCCACATTTTACCTGCACCATGACCACTTATGTACCTAACCCTAAATCTGTAAAAAAAAAAAAAAAAAAAGTCTCCTGTTAATTATTATTATTATTATTATTATTGGAGTTAGAGTCTCACTTCATTGCCCAGGCTGGAGTGCAGTGGCACACTCACGGCCACCCCAGTGTTGACCTGCTGGGCTCCAGAGATCCTTCTGCCTCAGCCTTCCAAGGAGTCAGAACTACAGGCGCGTGCTACCACTCGCAGCCAATTTTTTATTGATTGATTGTAGAGACAAGTTCTTGTCAAGTTGCCTAGGCTGGTCTTGAACCCGCGGAGCTCAGGCAATCCATTCACCTCGGCCTCCCAAAATGCTGGAATTACAGACTAAGCCACTGAGCCCGACCTCCTGTTAATTATTAAAACTGAAAGTTTCACAACTGCCACCTACTGGTAAGTGAAAAAGGAATGGCTTACAGATAGTATCTACTGAATGATTACATATAACTGAACCTGTTACTGAGCTTTCTACTTTGTTCCACTAAGCTTGATGTACAGGTTCTTCATTATCTTCTGTTCCAATATTCTCTTGATTATATTTAGTAGTTGAGAATCTTTCCTTTATAAAATTTATACTTGTAATCTATTTTCTCCTCTTATTTTATTAGAGAGACATTTCTGAACAACAAATAAAACGATATCTCCTATCCCCTTCTTAGGGTCTTTGATTCCTCTCAGAGTTGGCTAAAGTTTGCTTGTTTATCTTAGCATGCTGTTGTTGTGGGGTCTGTGTGAGGATTTGCTACATATCTGTATCGCATGCAGGTGAGGACTGACTGTCTAGCGAGCCCTCTCTGCCTGGTAGTGGACGTAGTGCCCAGTGTCCAGCATTTGAAAAACAACTTATTTTAAAAGTTCCACATTTTCTCTCATATCTTTCAGTGTGGAGGTTTAAATATTTTACATTAAAATATACTGAATGCGGTACAATAGGACATTCTGAACATTTTATGTTTAAACTCAAAAAACAAAATGTGATTCTTTCATTTTATAATTGAATACGTTTCCAAGTATTGCTACAAGAAGTAACAAAGAAACAGTGTAGGACCACGCTTTAAATTTTGTTTTTATACTTGTGGCGGATTGTCTCTATTGGCCTGTTTCACCTAACTGATGACGTAATGAATGGTTATTGCAAGATCGGCCAGTTGGATCAAAGTATGTGTGATGACCATCCTCATGAAGGACATCACTAACTCTACCTTCAGAGACCAATGACTTGTGAAAATAAAAGAACAACTTTGCTAAAGAGATAAAGCACACAATGGCAAAAGTAACTGGAATTTTTCAGGGTAGTAAAGGGAAAACCTACATAGTCACCTTTTGCATGGAGGAAGCACCTAGTCGCTGATAGTTAAGGAGACGTACCTGGCTTGAAGTGTGGTAAAGAGTGGACTCCAGGCCATGTGTCCTCATTTGGCGTTCCGAGAACCTGGTGGAGAGCAGGAAAGTGTGGAGACAGATGTATTATTTCCAAAGCACTCAACATTCTCAACTGTAGAAAATAGTGCACAGCATGTGACGAAACTAGAGTTTTTTCCGTAATCATGTGCCAGAGATTTTATTTCAGTAAAAACAAACCCAGTGGGAGAGGCACCCAAGATGAATTTCATCAAGCCCAAACTGAGTAAGCAGGCTAAGGAACCCATCGACGTGCTGCTGCCCTCGGATAGCTGAATAAAGTGGCCTGTGTCCCTCAGGATCCTTTCATGAGCTTTGTCCTTCACTCCAATATCACGTCTCACCATTTCAGTTCTGAGAATACTGTCACTTCTTCTTCCCATTCTCTGCCTGAGCATCGTGTTTCAAAGAAGCAGTGTTGACAGCTTTCAATGTTCAAATTCACTCATTATGGTTAAAATCTATAATTATGGGATTTGCAGTCTGCTCTTGCCAACATGCTGTTCTTCCACACTTTTTCTTTTCCTATACATACTTCCAACCTCTTTCTCATCTACTGTTCTATTACCACAGTGCTTGATCTGTGAAAGGAATTAAAGGCAGTTCCAGCTTACATGTACCTGGGCACACTCCATCCCGAATGCTCTGTTCCACTATCTGTGACTTTGTGATACTCAATGACCACAGCGAATCACTGAAGATAGTGGAGTTGAAGGGTTATGAGCCCAGACCCTGGAGACAAGCTCCTTTGGTTCAAGTCGTTGCTCCTGTACTTACTAGCCATGTAAACATGCACAAGGAATAACCTCTCTGAGCTTCAATTTTCTCACATGTAAAGTGGTGGGTGAAAACAGCACCTACCTTGTCTGTGTGGACAGTACTACCTGGTGCACTCACCATGTAAGTATTAGATATTATTCAAAGCATCCGAGAAAACTGGGCCCTGTCAGGGAGGCTCCAGCCATGTGGGAGAATCTAGACCACCCATTTTTCCACAGTAACTCCCTGTTCAAGGGAGTCAATGACCGATGTTGTCATTCAAACTATGTTGGACAAACATGGGTAGTCAAACAGGTTAGAAAGGGCAAGAGACAGAAACCAGAGGCTGGCAAAAGCGGAAGGAGGAAGGGTAGATATTATGGGAGGAAATGGGGAATTATTCACTTCACTTCTGAGATTACCTGGCACTACTAGGCCATATGGTGGTTCAGGGCTTTAAAGATTGATGCACTTATTTACCAGGGGTACAGAGATATGATGCCAAAAAGTGGCAAATTTACGGTGAGAGTGCATAACTCACTGCTTCTTGTACTGGTGACTCAGGGTTAAATACCTGTTTATGCTCCTCACCAAAACATGAACCTGGCTTCGAGTGAAGAGATGCCTCATTCTTCTAAATTTTCTAATACTGACAATTCTTCTCATACTTGGTCAATATTTCCAGTGCTAATTAATACTAACATTAATAAGTAGATCTACCCACACTAAGTCACATTATGGATGTGCTGGGTGCAGAGGAGGAGGCAGACAGGCAGGCTGGAAGAGTTGGAAGGCAGGAAAAGAGGCAAAGCCATGGCCTCTGACATCAAATTATATGACAGTGTTGCTGCAAAAGGCATGTCCTACTTTCTTTTCCATAATTCCAGCTATTACTTCAAGAGAAGGAGACAGTCAGGGATAAGGGAAATGCACACAGTCCATCTGGGAATGCTCCTCTCTGCTCCCACACTGAAAGTTGCTTGGAGGGAGAGGGAGACTGACAGTGCCAGACTTGAGAAGCACAAGGGAGTAAGCGTCTACTCCTTTGGAAGCTTTACAGTGAGAAGTTCGGCCAGAGCCTGAGCCCTGCTCTCTCCAGGCTCAGATAATTGTTATTGTTATTCTGACCATCCTGTTTCTACAATGCTGTGTTAGCAAAACTTCTTCCTGGCATTGTCCTCATCCATATCCAAGGTTCTGTTTCCAACTGATTATGAAATATTATGGCCACCTCCTAAAAATTACCAGGAAAGATAAAATACATGAGACTTTTTTTTTCAGTTATAGACTTGACCACTGAGATTCCAGACCTCAAATGCTTCTCCTGCCTATGATCCTGGATCCTCAGCACAGAAAATAAGAAGTGGGCAGAAAATAGATACCGGAAAAGAATTAAAAGACAATTCTACTTCCTGTGAAAACCATTTTGAAAAGGATAGTTTGGGTTAAGTGTACGATTATAATGATTGGCTACCTGTACATTAGGGTGAGTGGGTGCCTCTTGTCTCTCATGTCAGATTTTCTTTTTTTTTTTTTTAGAGTTGGAGTCTCACTCTGTCGCCCAGACTGGAGTGCAGTGGCCGCTCCCAGCCACCACAGCCTCGACCTGCTGGGCTCCGGCGATCCTTCCGCCTCAGCCTTCCGAGTAGCTGGAATTACAGGCATGTGCTACCACGACCGGCTGATTTTTTGATTTATTGTAGAGATGAGGTCTTGCTGCCCAGGCGGGTCTCGAACCCGCGGGCTCAGGCAATCTGCTCACCTCAGCCTCCCAAAGGCATGGGATTACAGGCTGAGCCACCGAGCCCAGCTGCAGATTTTCATTACTTTGAGACACTTTGAAGTTAGAAGAAAAATTACTGTTTAAAAGGAAAAAATAATCCTTTGGAAATAAAGCAGAAATAAAAAGAAAACTGCATGTGGTATGCCGTCAACATTTAAAATGCAGCTCTGTTCACAATAGCAAAAACATGGAACCAACCATGCTGCCCATTGAAGCTGGGCTGGATTTAAAAAATGTGGCAAATATACACAATGGAATATTATGCAGCCATAAAGAAGGACAAATATATGGACTTTGCAGCAACTTGGATGGATTTAGAGTCGATCATACTCAGTGATCTATCACAGAAACAAAGAACATGGTACCATATGTTTTCACTCATAAGTGGACCTTGAACAATTGTAATACTATAAGAAAGTGTTTGGCAGTAATGTGAAACTGTCAGGGAAGGGGGTGTGGGATTGGCAGTTGAGGGAAACTGCTAGGGGAAGGAGGGGCATACCTCATCAACAAGG